AGCAAACAATTTTAGTCGCCCTCCAATGGGAGCTGCTGTCAAGGACTCACTTGGGGCGATGAAAAAATCGGCCTCCAGTACCTCTGGGGTTTCTTCTGTTTTGGCCTCCCCGCTGACCTCTATCGGAAGATTCCGATCTCTCCTGTCTAAAACTGGGCCTGTAGCCTGATGTTCTCTGCGATCTGGGAATGTATGGGCCTTGATAGTAGGGCCGAAAGGAACCCCTTCAAAACAACTGGAGCGTTCTGTTTTCAGACCTCCGAAAAAGAGGGGGAAGCACTTTTTTCTTGTTCCTATTCTCAATAAGCAGGGGCTCTAAGACACTGCCAAATAATTTATCCCCCGATATTGGGGCTGATGCCAGCTTGCATTTATGCTTGGTATCCGCCTGCCAATGTCTGAGCCATAGCAGTCTCCGTGCTGATACGTGACTGCATTAAAAGCGGCGTCGGTGGAGAATTCTGCCGCTGCAATAATCTTAGCAATGTCCTGGTGGGCTCTGACATTTGACGCTGGCAATATATCCCTCAAGTGGAAGAGCCATCGTAGGGAGGACCGTGTGAAAAAAGGTGCAGCTGTAACTGCCCTAATGGACCAGGCATCAGAAATGTGCACCCTACGGAGTGCCAACTCTGCTCTCTTTTTCTCCGGTCTCAGGGCTTCCTCGGCCTCGGTGGGAAAAGTTGAAGAAGAGACCAGTGCCACAATAGGCTCATCCACCTCCGGCATTTTGAGAAAATTTGTAAACTCTGGTGCTAAATTATAATATCGTTTATCGTACCCTGTTGGGGCTGGGTAGGATGCTGCTGATGCCCATTGATTTTGTACTAAATCAGCAAACATACGAGGGACAGGAATAGTTTCTGCCTCATTAGCTGGTTATGAGAATATTAGATACTCGGATTCGTCCTGAGACCCTGATGATAATGGATGAGGGTTTGATGTCCCTAGTTTAGCAGTGTTCTTTGCTTTGAACAGTAAAGTTGTAAAGAGGTGCGGACGAAAAAGGCCAGAGAAGGTAAGTTGGTCCGGAATGAGGCCTTCATCATCCAACATTCCTCGTTCTAGTGGGTCAGCCTCTGACAACCCCAAGTCCATCTGATGGATTGACCCCACCTCCTTCGGAACATTCTGGTCATCTAATTCCACCTCCTCCCGAAGACCCTGGACTGGTAAGTCAGAAGTATTGGGGAATATCTGAGTTTGATGGTGTCCCAAATGCGCAAAGGAACGAGCAGATAGGGATCCCGCTTCTGAAGTAGCCGAAAGGTATCTGGTCCGGATGGATTGATGAACTCCAGCTGCAATGCCGGTTTTTATGGCCATCTCCATCCATTGCCTCATTTCGATGGGAATAGTCTCAGGTAATCCCTCCTCCTGTCTTAAACCAGCAGCCGTAGGGGTGAAGGTTGCCTCTGGGATTCACCGAGCAATGCTCATTGTAGGAGTTATGTCTATGGGAGGCTGTCGAGAGATAGTCTGTCTGGGCTGGGTAGATAAGTCCAAGGGCCCCAGCAATGGACTTGGGTCCTGATCCGACTGATGTGTCATAACCATCTTGTCCGCCTCCCTAGCCCGTTTCTGCAACTGCCTTTCCAAGGCTTGGTGCCGTCCATGGGCATCCTTATCCGCCACCTTAGAGGCCTTTTTGGGGCCCACTGACTTATCTCGGGACTTATTTGTCTTGGAGCGAAAGACGTTGTCACCTTGCATTATGGAGGACTGGTTCTTGTGCCTCTAACTTTATTTTTTTTAAAAAAATATTATTTTTAAAAATTATTATTATTATTATTATTATTTGTAGTTAGGGGTGATGCCTACCCCTGTGGTTGAAAGTAGAATGCTTCTCCAGGAGTGTAAGTCTGTCTGTCTGTCTGTCTGTCTTTCTGTCTGTCTATCTATCTACACACACACACATACAGATGTATATGTATGTATATATGTATATATGTGTATGTATATATATATATATATATATATATATATATATATATATGTATGTATGTATGTATGTATGTATGTATGTATGTATGTATGTATGTATGTATGTTGTGGCTCCGAGTCCTGAGTCTGCATTCTTAGAGGAAGAGGACTCGAAAGATGAGGAAGAGGTGAAATTGGGAATGCCTTCCTCCCCAGGACCTTCGTCTTCGGCAATGCCTTCCTCCCCGATTGTGCCTCAGGTTTTGGCAGATAACCGAGAGGGACAGCCTGAGGCTAATCAGGAGGAGGAGGGCATATCGCAGTAGCCTTTGACAGAGAATCAAGCAGATGAATGCTGGCTTGATGCTAGGCAGCTTCGCAGGAAAAAGTGTGAGCTGCAACGCAGGAGACATGGACGAATCAGAGACTGAGCTGAGTTAGTGACACACCCCACAGGGAATAAAAGTGGGTGTGTTTGCTCTGGGAACTCCGTACGGGACAAAGTGTGAATTTTTCTGTGGATCTTTGGTGTATCCTGTTTCTTGAAAACTTTCGTGATTAATGTTTCTGTTATTTTGTCGGACTTGGCAGGCAGCATGTGTGATACTGCCAAGAACATTGCCGACTCAAAGGAATTAACTCTGTAAATACTGAATCTTCTTGCCTGCCTGTATTTGGTCAGAGTTTGGGAGTTCTCATCTTCCATGGAAAGGTGAGACATAACATGTATGTATGTATGTATGTATGTATGTATGTATGTATGTATGTAAAACTGAGTATATGGTGATCTAAGGGTCCCCAACAAGGGAAACCAGCTATACAGGACCTGGATGGATCCTTTCCTGTCAAAAAACGTCCCGCTGTTTGAAATGGCATTTGCGGCTTCACTCCAATGTAATGATTCAAAAGGAATTGCAAAGAAATTCCTGTTTAAGAACTAGCCTGCTTATCCAACGCCAGCAAGATAAAAGAGAAATAATCCCAGGAAAGTGGAGTGGGAAGGACTTGCCCCGGTCCCCAAGAAGGGAAACCAGCGGGGAATGGCGCCTGTGTATTTAGGCGTGAACTTGAAGCCAGGCGTTGAAAATGGCGGGAAGGCAGAATCTCCGATGTTAATTGCCTGAGCAGCTTAACGAGCCGCTGCTGCTGACTCTCTAAATTGTCAGATAAATGATCCTGTCAGTCAAAACGGCACGGAGGAGAGAGCCGCGGCTGCGAGCGCTCCACCAAGATCGCAGAGATAAAACGATCGGGGGAATAGATAAGCTAATTGCCTGAAGCGGCTGTCTCAGGCTGCCTATGGAGTGGCAGGCTCCGCCTGTCACAAAGAGCTGCTCTCAAGTGATCAGGGGGGATAACCTAATAGAGCCACAAGCCTTGAAATCACCAAATTAATTGGGAAAAAAAAATTACAAGCCGAATTAACCCAAGAGCAAACCTGAATTTTGAGTAGCTGAATCAGAAACCGTTCCAGTCAGGGAGTGCACAACCTCTTACCATGAAGGCTGAGCTAAAACTGGGGGATGCTGAGGAGGTGTCCCATGGAGGAGGAGGAGCGTCCCGGAGTTTTAAGCCCAGCCTTTCCAGAAGAGACTGAAGCACCTCCCACTTCTGGATGCTCTGAACAGCTCAAGGGAGAACCACTGTATCTTCCTGTTTGCTACATGTAAAACACTAAATGAAATGTAATTGGTTTATCAAACTCATAATATGCTTAAATCATAATGAATTTAGGCAGATTACAATAAAATAAAATCCAAGCCACTGTATCATCAAGCCAAAGTAAAAAATTATAACAAATAAAGCACAAGATTATTTATTTATTTATCATATGGCACATTCACACCAGAGCACAAGATTAATAAATAAGAAACAAGCCAAAATTTGGTTCCAATAACACTTATCTTCAAAGACTTCCAGAAGAATATCATTTCACTACATTCTTGAAGGTCACCACTGAAGAAGACATCTAAGCTTCTGAAGGAAAGTTGTTCAAGTGTATGGGAGCCACGATGAAACAACAGTATTATCTGGTTCTACCCCATCTCACCTCATGAAAATGGGGGACAACAAGCAACTTATCCTGGAAGGATCTTGCTGGATGAGTCAACTCTATTTTAAGTAGACAGTTCTGAAGAAACCTACTTTCCAAGCTATATTTACCAACAATATGTGAATGCCCATTTCAAGGGCGAACAGCAATAATTGACCAGACTGATACCAAGTAACATACTTTATCAATCATTGTAGCAAAATTCCACCACTGCCTAGAATTTGGATAAAACTTGGATACAGAACTTTTAAAAAATAAACCTGCAAAATCAAGGTCCATTAAATCAAGATGCAAGATTCTAGCTACTTTGAAGAGGGAAACTTTGGGGAAATGATAAGGCTACTCAGGCATGTGTTCTGTGGTTAACAAAATGAGAAGCAAAGTACCAAAGACAAACCACCAGCTATTATATTACTATTTATATTAATAAATTTACTTTATGGATCCTTAGAATAATATGGTGGCTCAATCAAACTCTGACATACGTAATGTTAGACATTTTAACGACCCCGATAAGCACAACATTCATATGATTAATCAAATCAATCAATCACTCAGGCCAAGGTGTTCCATATAGAAAGCCAATCTGTGTGCGTTAGCCTTAACTAAACAGAAAAGAGTTAAGCCGCAACATTAGAAATACTGCTATTTGATCAGCAAATGAAATAGTGCAGATACCACATATCACAGACTCATATCATTGAATGTTCCCAAACAATCCAATAGGAAAAATAATCTTAGATCTAAAAACATACCATCACAAGAGGAAGACAAGGGTTATACACAGAGATATTTCTCATGTTTTACGAAAGGTACAATCAAAACATAAATGTATTGCCCTAGCCACTATTTGTGAGATCTGAGACCTAAAATGTTTCAGACTGTACATTCTCAAGATGGCTGAGAATATTTTGCGTCCATCATACAGGGACATAAATTTAGAGTGACCTGAATTTGGTTTAACAGCTCTTTTATGAATGCTAATTAACCTTTTAGTAGTATACACAGAAACAGCAACTTACAGGACAATGAGTGTGTGCCTTTGGGTAAATATTCAAAGAGCAGAGAACTCTCTTCTCCCAGCATGTCAGCTTTCAAGGACAATAAGCTATTCTTGCTCATGAGAGCTGCTCGCAAGTTAGCAACTGCTAGAGCCTGAAGTGCATCCTCTTTCTCTGGATTAAGTGGCTGAGAGAGATAACTCACATCACCTCCTAGGAGTGCTTCATCAACCTTTGCATAAAGATCCACTCTCTCTATTCTGTTGTCAGAATTGTTGGGCTCTGCCCCTGTCAGATCCACACCTGAATGAAAAAGAAAGAAAGAAAAAGAAAGAAATAATTTAAGCATGTAGACTTAGCAGAAGTGCATTTGTAAAATCACATTAGAGCTCACAGTGTCAGCACCAGTATTCAGAGCTAATAGTCTTAAAATATATGCTTTTTTCCCAACTTACATTTCATATCTTCATGTTATGATCTCTTCACTGATATTACTTTCATAGAGTGTACACTTTGCAAGATATACAATATATATATATATAGCACTTTGTTGTATCTTTGCTGCTATAGTACCAAAGACTAATTAACCAGTTTAAAAAAATTAATCCAGATTAGCTTTTTGTTTCTTTTGTTAACTCTGCTACAGTTTAATCAAAGAGTGTACTGTACACTACATTTTATACTATTTCCTAACTTAAAAGGTAGCGTTAAAAAGCAGGTCTCTCATGAAATTCATTACTTCCATAGCAATATACTTTCATTTTTTAACAATACTTTTCAAAGATCAAGTAGCAGAACATGAAGTTTATAGAACCATGTCCTGAATATCTTCTTTCAGAAATCAGGACCAGAAAAATGCTATTACCAATAACAATAAAAGTCACTGAGGTCTGTCAAAGACACTCTTGCCGTGTCTAGTTACCAGATATTGCTGCTGAGATCACACCATCGCAATCAATTAAGCAACTTGGAAACAAGATGTATTTTAAAAAAATATTCAGGGTAATCAGTATCTATTAATGAGCGTTGAACTACCTCACTGCCCTTCATCTTCTTTGGAAGCAGAAGAACAAACCATTTTCAAATTCTTAGTACATAGGAACCAATTACACTGGAAGGCCAGAAAAATCATTTCCAGATTTTTGTTATCCTGTTTCAGCATTCTATTTTCACACCCACATCAGGGAACTGATGAACCAAGAACTGTACTGTCCAAGATTAAATTTACTGCTGCTATATGAAGAAGGGCAAGACCATGAACTATGATACAATGGTGATAGAAGTTGACACAGATAAATGAAAAACTTAATTAAATTGTGGGAGCTGTATCAGACATTACAGGAATACAAATTGAAAAACCTCCTCCATCTGTTACAGAAAGGAGTTGGGGAAGTTAATAACTAGAAACTCAGAATTTAAAAAAATAAATAAAGCTTCCATTTTATTAATAGGTCATTTATAAAAACAAACCTGATTTCTGCTTACCCTTATCAATCTGAAAAACAAACTGAATAAAGTGATAGAACTAGATTTCTGATATATGTAGAGAAAAAGGTTGTGAAGAGATTTTAAACACTCGTCTTGATGTATGATTGAGAACTCAATTTATAGGATTAATAAACCCTTTACAAGAGGAATAGACCAAACTGTTTTGGTCATATTCAGTCTTCTAAATTTTGCTAAAGTCACACTCTCAGAAGTGGACACACTCAAAACAATTTTACATTATGGCTATTTTTCAATGCCATTGTCACTTTCTTTCCAATGAAAAGTATTAACTTAAAAATATTATTTAACCATTGTCATAAACTATATGCCTTGCCCCATATGGTTTTTATTTTGCCACACGTTTAAAATACTGAAATCAGTTCTAGTTAGTTCACAGGGGTTGTATTTATACACTACATGAAGTATAATATGGTTTCTTCTATATTAATTTAGAGCGTTGTGTAAAACGATCCATTACTGTATCATCTGTGAACCATGCTTCATTTAGCACAAGGTATAACTCCTGAAGCTGTGATTTAGTCAATATAAGAAGAGGGCATTATCATAGTAGCCATGGTGGCACAGTGGTTAGAATGCAGTATTGAAAGCTAATCTGTCCACAGCCAGAAGTTCAACCATGGCTGGTTCAAGGTTGACTCAGCCTTCCATCCTTCCAAAGCAGGGGTGGGATTCAAATTTTTTAACAACCGGTTCTGTGGGCGTGGCTTGGTTGGTGGGCGTGGCTTGGTGGTCATGTGACTGGGTGGACATGGCTTGGTGGTCATGTTATTGGCTGGGCATGGCCAACTCAATATCACTCACATCGAGGCACGCATCTCCTCGCCTGGCCTCTCATGACTGTGGGGATGCTGTAACAGTCGTAAGTGTGAAAAATGGTCATAAGTCACTTTTTTCAGTGCCACTGTAACTTTGAATGATCACTCCACACAAGCAAAGTACCAACAAAGGAGGAAAAAAAAAACTCCAGAGAAGTTCCTGAGACAGGAAGTCTAGTCCTGCCAAGAATGTAATAAGGGTTAACAGAGAAGCAGTTTCTGTAAGCTACGCCTGAATGTTTCCTTCCTGCCTTCCTTATAGGATTAGCCCTGTAATTTCTTCTAACAACCGGTTCTCCGAACTGCTTAGAATGTTAACAATAAGTTCTAGCGAATAGGTATGAACTGGTAGAATCCCACCCCTGTTCCAAGGTTGGAAAAAGGAGGAACCAGATTGTTGGGAGCAATATGCTGACATTTGTTAACTGCTCAGAGTACTGTAAAGCACTATGAAGTGGTATCTAAGTCTAAGTGCTACTGCTATAGTAACCAAGGGTATGCTGGTGGGAGTAAGAGACATATCTATTTACAAACAAACCCTCTTCCTTCTATTTCCCACTTAACTGATTGCACTACTGCTGTTCCCTCTTTTCCCTTGGTATTATTGTTCAGTACTAGTTCAGTTCATAAGGCCAAATTAATCCTTGATTTGATGAGGAAATTCAATCTGGGATACATTAATAAATTGGGTGGTGGTGGTACAAGATGAGTGGAATTATTTTAAACTGGTTTGGTACATCTTTAAAGGTTCATGGTACATGACCATCCTAAGCTTGGGTATTGGGGTACTGTGACTCAAAGAACGCCCATTTTACTAAGCAGGAGATGTTTTGATCATGCAGTGAGATCAGAGAGACAGATGGGGATTGCGGTTGGCCTGCCTTCCACTGTATTACCCAGCGGCCTTTCTGCATGAGCTGGCTGAAGTAATTTTGAGAATGAAGTTGTATGCCTAAGGGGATATTCATGCTGTCTTGGACAATCCATTTGGGGATTTTATGGACTCTATGGCAACCATCAGGGTTTTTTTTTTAGCGCATTGGTGGCCCCACACACAGGGCAGGACACTCTATTGATTTCATCTCATACACTCTTGATCCGGTATTCACCCCATTGTGTGAGACAGGTGATCTGATAACAGGAGGGATTGAAATCACATGATTATATAAGAACATTTGCTGGTATAAAGTTTGATTTCACAGCATTAGTGTTCTGCTACAGAGATTAATGGAATCAACCTCAGAAACTCTTGCAGAAATGCAGCCCATCTTACAACCTCTTGACTACTGCCCATCACAGCTTATTAAAACTAGCCGCAGGCATTGGCCAAATGGGCTGAGGGAATGGATAATGCATCTTATGCAACCTTGGAACCATTCTGAAAAAAAACCCACCTCCCTGGAGTTCTTGAAAAATGTTGCCTGAAACCAGGGGTGAGCTTCAAATAGTTTAACAGCCGGTTCTCTGCCTGGCTGCTGGCTGGGTGTGGCCATGGTGTGCATGACCTAGTAGGCCTCCTGCATCACCCTGGTTGCAAAAACGGGCCATGGGGGAGGCATTTTCACCTTCCCTGGGCTCTGGAGGCTTTCCTCAAAACCCCAGGAGGGCGAAAATGGCCTCCCTGGGCTCTGGAGGCTGGAAACAGGCCCCGTTTCCGGCCTTCCGGAAGGCCCATTTTTTGCCCTCCCCAGCCTCCACACTTACCTATGATCCAAAACGGGCCATGTGGGGGTGCCGGGAAAGGGCAGGGTGGGATGAGCCATGGGTGGGATTTGCTGGTTCTCTGAACCGGCCATAAAATTAATAACCGGTTTGCCTGAACCGGTGTGAACCAGTAGCAGCCCACCCCTGCCTGAAACCCTTGGTAGAATCCATTTCTGGATAAGACTGAAACACTAGTGATGGCCTAATTGCAGGATCTCTTGGAAAAGAAAGATGACTACAATATATAGCAATAGCACTTAGACTTATATACCACTTTATAGTGCTTTACAGCCCTCTCCAAGAGGTTTAGAGTCAGCATATTGCCCCAAATTGTTGAATTTGGGTCCTCATTTTACCCACCTTGGAAGGATGGAAGGTTGAGTCAACCTTGAGCCTGGTGGGATTTGAACTGCCAAACTGTAGATGGCTGGTTACAGAAGTACCGCACTCTAACCACTGTGCCAAAGAGGCTCCTTATGGCTTCAAGGCTGATTTATCTTTCTATAACAGCACTTTGGAGACAACTAAGAGTACTATTTTGTCCCCAGAGCTATTTAATATCTGCATGAGACTACAGGTGCAATCATTATGTAATTTAAAGTAATGAGATCAATATACCATTGTAAGTATAAAAATACCTAACAGAACAGAGAAGAAGGTGAAATTTCAAAATTTTGACATAAAAGTCAATAATTAGGACAAGCTATAATTAAGAAAAGCAGCTAGGTTGCAACAATTAGAAAGGATAGTAGCAATTTATTTTAAAGGGCAACATAAATAGATTAGTGAATAGTATAGTCTCTAATTAAGCCAATCATTAAAGCAAACAAGAAAAGCATTCAAAAATAGAAAGGAAGTAAGCTCCAGTATAGAGAGTTAAATACATTATTGCAGGAAAGGCTGTTCTTATGGGGAGGAGTAGATGCAGTAGAAGATTTTGAGTTTGAGGAAAATGGAATATAGGGTGGGGAAGGGAAATAGACACATAGATAAAATGGGGTTGAGGTGGAGCCCATTTAAACTAGGGTGTAGTCAAACAAAAGTCTGAGTTTCAAGCAATCTCTTAGCTTCTTTTTTAAAAATAACTTGACCTAACCCTTTCATAAAGGAGCCTTA